ACCTGTGACCACTGAGTAAGGGCTCAGTCCAGGGAGCAATGGTGCACAGCAAGTTCCTCAAGACATATAATAAGAAGAGAGACTAAATTATGGACTCATATGGCCAGGACCTTGGTTGGAACAAACTAAAATAATGCCTCGAAACCAATGGCCTGTACTTATTTACTTAAAATGAAGAAATTACTTGGATCTTAGATCAGAGAGCCAGATTATTTTTATAAGATTTTCCTAATTAATTACAGTGACAACGGTAATAAACGAGAGCTCTATCATCAAGTTAAACAATCACAAGAAAATAAATCTCCCGTCTACCACAAACTGATATATTGCTTGTAAAATATAATTTAGTCTCATCATATGGGGTTTATACAAATTGAGTAGCTTTTTTTTTGCCATCATGCAGCTTCAATTTGAGTCAGCAAATTTAAGCTAACCAAGATGTAAAAGCAACCAAACTAAGGACCTTTGCCACACCAAGTGAACCTTATAAAAGGTCAAGCTGTTTGTGCTACTGAAAGGAAAACCTGTCATTTTTGCAATACATAAATTACATGGTAGTAACTGAGGACACGGGGGCTGAAATGCACAATTGCATTCTTTCCATGGCTCTTATAATATACTCTACCCTGAGGATTTTGTGCATGTACTCTGTAGGGAATGAAAGGCTAGAGGTCATGTGAGCGTATAATGTTCAGGGATGGTGCAACAAATAAAATATTTCCTTGGAGAGCTCTTTTTAGTTAATCAAATGAAATATGTTTGTAATATCTCCAGTGCTGAAGGCTTTTGATGTTTTATTCAAAAAGCCATACAATGTCTCTAGGTTACAGTAAAGGCACACAACTCATGAAGAGGCTTAGAATCATGGGATGGTACAAAACAAGTAAAACAGGGCATTCTTGTCCCTCACAGAGAACTGCATGCACAACATAATATCCATTCATTACTTCAGCTGTGGCTGTGCAAGACTGGAGCATGATGTAAGCAGAAAAAGTTCTCATCAGAAAAGAGGGGAGAGTTTTTGAGGTTGAGTCTCTATGGTTGGATACAACTAGGCACAGGCACAGCACCTTGAGCAATGTACAAGATCACGTGTCCTATTTAATTGCTCACACAGACTCTCGCATGGGTTTGGTTCCTGCCAGTGGGTGCTCTCATGTGCTGAGGGCCATTCCTCATGGGCAGTGTTGTTGTGGTTTCCCTAGTTTTGGTGCAGGGAGGCAAGCTGTACTGCACATGGAGGTCTTGGGGCCAGAGCTGGCAGCTGGCTCCCTTGGTGTGCAGGAGTGGTGGCTGCCATGTGGAGCTCTAAGGTCAGGCAGCACCTTCTCCGTGTGACATGGCATCCCTTTTGGGAAGAGTCTTGCATCACCCTAGATGATTCTCGTAGCCTTTTAAGTGTGTGCTTTGTATAAATTTACTATTTACTGTTCTTGAATGGTGAAGATTTCCCTTTGGTCTGCTTGGTCCTGGTAATTCCCTTTTAAACTGATAGCAAGGCCTGGAAATTCAGCATCCTGGCACATTTATTATATTGTGCAGGGTCTTCTCTTCAAAAAGGGTTCTGGCAGTGGCAAGCCACATATCCCCAGAGACAGGACATATATTTAAAATCAGATTACATAAGTCTTTGGTTTTGATTTCACTCCCCTGTGTTAAATGCTCTAGAGTCTGTCTGCATCCACACCACCAAAGCTCTCTCTAGCCATCAAAGCTTGCTCGGGTTTGGATTCAATTTGCAAATGCACATATATAGCTGAAATAATTGCTGCCGTTGACAGGCCCACTTTGGCAATAGCAATAAATGGTTTATAGGCAGTTTCAGAGGACTGTTGCTACCCATAAATAAAGCCATTTGTGCAACAGTTTCAGCCATACTGTTCTATGGCTGCTATGCCAAAAATCCTTTTGGGAGATACCTGTGGCCATCCTAAGTGTTCTTCTTGCTGCCAAGGAACTCTCCTTCTGTAGTTTTAGTATGCAGTGGGAGAGTGTTAGTAAGCTGTTGTTACTGGGTAGCCTCAGAGGAAGGCTATTACATTTTCAATTATGTTAGACTCTTGGCTATCTGCATAAACTCTGTCTGGATTAGAAGTCTCCCTTTACGGGATAGTTTCTAACGGCTAATACTTAGGTTTTCCAGCAGTCTCTTTCTGATAATTTTGGCCCAGATTCCAAACACATCCTTTATCAGAACTCAGCCCTGTTGCATTGACAATCTGCCTTATATCATCCTCATATGCTAACAATTTCTCTTTCCTTTTGCTTCTTTGCCTTTTTTTTTCTTTTTTACACAGAGTTTAGTGCACCTCACCTCCAGAGAGAGGTAGCTCCTCCTCTGCCTGTACTAATGGAAGAGAATTTACAACCCCAGTGCTATATTGCCTCGGTCTGAAGGGTCTATTTATTGCCAATACAATTTCTTCTCCCCCAGATGGGGGTAGAATTACCAGAAGCACCATCTGTACAAGGACATTGTTTTATGCCTGAACTTTCATCTAAAAAGGGGTGGCTTCTAGTTTAGCTGGAAGATCAGCACACCAAAACAATCCTTTGGCTGGAGCATGCCTCAAGGAGGAAACTGCAGGACCTCACAACTGAGACATATTAATAAAATGTTGCAAATTCTGTATTTTCATACAGTGAAACATGCAAGACATCCTAAATTAAATACATCATCTTCACATCCTTTTCATTGACCTGTCAAATGTGGAAAGAATATCAAACTATGCCATTGGTAACACACCAAAACAAAGAAAGAAATCGAGGTTGGTAGCACCTGACTTTTCTTGAAACAGATGAAGTAAGGTAGCAAGGAGCTGCCTTTCTGCAATGAGCACACTGACAATACCAGTCCTAGAAGTAGCTGGATGAGGTCCCGGAGTGGAAACTTGGCATTTGCCTAAAAGCCGGAGACAATGGAAACTGTTCCTCCTGCCACGGATGAGAAATTGGTCATATCTGTTGGCTCCAGTTCTTGAGGGTGGACTAGTAGCTGGAAGCCTCTGGCAAGGAAACAGACTGCACTCACCCAGAGGAGTAGGAAGATCTTTAAGGGATTACACACAGCAATGAACGCTCTGTTGTTGCTGTTATCTTTCATCTAGAGAAATACCCAAGGTACTGTTTATGCCACCTTTTCCATGAAAGGGAGACAATAAGAGGGAACATCGTCTTCTCATGCAGATCATTGCTACTGATGACAATACATAAAGGACAAAATAGAAGACATGCTGTGGAAAAGTTTCTGTGACAAATGGGCTGATGAAAAACTAAATAGATGTGTGAGTGAGGTGCAGGCTGTAGGTCTGGAGTGAGTGAGCCACTGACACCCCAGAGTATGCACAACAAATTATTATTTTCTTAGATCACTTCCAGGCACAGTGTGAGTTACAGGGGAGGGGGTTAGCCTATGAAATAATTTTTGGTGTGGTTTTGGGGAGATACTTGCTATAGAAGTGTTTACACAGGAAGTCTAAGTTATTCAGGGTAGCTCAAACCCCACACTGGTGCCTAGAGCATTTATCACTTCCCACTGCAGAGCAAGTGTCCCTGTCCCAGCTCCACATCAGCATGAGACCCCAGCTGGCACCACATAGCCCCTGTACCGCAGCTGCTGCAGGACATGATCCAGGGCCTGTGCCCCAGAACAGAGTGAGGAGCAGTGAGCACCCTGGAGAGCAGCCTGGTGCCTGGTACACCCCAGCAGCTTGCTGTAACACAGCCAAGTTTGAGATTTGTGTAGCTGAGAGGGGGAGGTCTAGCCTGGAACTGTGACCTTAGCAAACACTGTTGGTTTGTCTTGCTTGCCCTCAGGAAATGTTTATTTACCCAGGCTTTTCCTGACAAGATGTGTTGCGTAGGTTGCTCTCGGCTGAGGGATGGGGCATTTCAGTTCAATGGGTATTTTGCAACCTACACGTCTGTGATAATGTGCTCTTAAGAAGGAAGCAGACACTGAAATCACACTTCTGACTAATTAGTTTTACCATAATTGTTGGCTGTAACATGTGATTGCCATCACAGAAAGAGTTTGAAGTTATATATCTTTACGTGGATGAAATGATTTATGCTGTACCTTTCTCATAAAGCCAAGGTCACTGCCTCCTGTTGTAGCTGGTCAGTTTGTTTCCCTTATTTTCTGCCTGGGGGTCTCACAGGAAAGGACAAAACATTCCTAAGTTGGGGAAAATGTGAATGGAGAAGCCCAAATCCAAACCCTCTGGGGCAGCCGTGTCCCCATTGCTGTGTGGTGCACCTCTCAGTGCAGGACCCATTTCTGCAGGGGCTAGGTTTGTCCCACCATCTCAGCTCCTGCCTGCTGGGAGGTGCTCCCTGCTTAGGGCAGCCACTGTTTCCATTTTGGCAAGTTTGGGTAGATGAAGATCTTTGCCTGAACAATGAGTTGTACTCTCGGCTGGCAGAGGCCACAGTGGGTGGCCCACCAGTGAGAAGCAGCTGGTTTAGGCAGCAGCTGTGCCCAGTGGTGGGAGAGGGGCTGTGATGGCAGAGCTGCTGCAGCCAAGCCATGCATTTAGTCCACCTGTGAATTTCCTTAGTGACCTCCTTGTCCATCAGTCACTCTGTATGCACCACTGACACAAGATTTCTGATTAAAAAAAAATGCCACTGGCATGCTGTTTGAAGGAAGCTATAGCTTTCTAGTATCTCTGCCCTAATATAAATGAATCATAGAATGGTTTGGGTTGGAAGGGACCTTAAAGATCATCCAGTTCCAACTGCCCTGCCATAGGCAGGGACACCTCCCACTAGACCAGGTTGCTCAAAGCCCCATCCAACCTAGCCTTGAGCACTGCCAGGGAGGCAGCATCCACAACTTTCTTGGGCAACCTGGTCCAGTGTCTCACCACCTTCACTGTAAATTAATAATGATTCTTTCTGTCTGCCCAACCCAGGCTGCATTCACAGTGCTGGTGTCTGAGAGCAGGGGCAGGCTGGGGGCAGCAAAACGAGGCAAACAAGGCATGAAAAGCTCCTACCATCCACCACAGGTTTGGGCTGCGAGCTCTTCAGCCGCAGCGAGGGCCTGAAGCGGGTCCGGTCGTTGAAGCTCCAGCTCTTCTGGACTTTGGTTGGGCTGCCCTCGGTGGCAATGTCAGCACTTGGTGACCGGCGATCTCCAACTGAAGACTGCCTGTTCTTTATGCTTTGACCTCGTGGGCTGGCCATCCGAACCCGCTCCTTAAAACTCAGCTTTTGACTGTGAAAAAGAGAAATGTGTTTTATTACGTGGTTCCTCCACTCCTTTTCCTTCTATTGTATGATATTAGGAAATAATTTCTAAAAAATTCTCAATAGTATGAATCTGTTTCTTACGCACTTTTATTTTCATTGGATATATTTCATTTGGGAATGAAACTGATTTGATGAAATTGTTTTTTGATAGAGACGTTATCAGTGGCAGTCTAACTCACAGTACAGAATAAGCTTGTAAAGGAAATTAAAATTAGCAAATAGAAACAAATTTCACCTAATTATTATTGATTAATCTCTAAGATTCTTTTCTTATTCCTTGAATTTTAAATAGGTTTATTTCCAGCTTCGTCAGCCCAGCTCAGTGCATTTCTGGCCAATTCTTCAGATGAACAAAAGCAAAATGTATTCTATTATTACTGCATGCCATGTAGTATTGTTTGGGGTTTTTTTTAGCAGGCAAAAATACTGTTAGTATAATCATGCTTTTTCAAGATGTGGCATTTCCAACATTTCAGATGCATTGTTAGTGGTCACTCATATCCAGAATTCCTTGTTACTACTTACTTGGACAAGACAAAACCAAAATTAAGACTATATCCAACAAACAGCGTGATGACTGATGAATGGAAATGTAATGATGCACTGTGTGCTCACTAAAGTCATTGCTGGAGATTGAGCTGGGATCTGACTACCTGCAGGTCATACTGGGCAGGTGCTTTAGGGCAGGTATAAGACGCTGGCCAAGGTAATGACTGTGACAGCTGGATCAGTGGTGGCCCTGTGGTCTTATAGTTGGCCAATTGTAAGTTGATTTTTTCCCTCTTTTGAGCTTATAACCCTGCCCTCCAGTCAGCTGAATATGGAACATACAGAATTTCTACTTCCCAGTGCTTAAGTTACCTTTGTTCATGTTCAAACATATCCAATGAACATCCTGGGGTCACCATAGCTCTCTGCCTATTCTTTTTCATTATTTAACACTTTTGCTTTTGTTTGTCTCTTCCTACCAGCAGAAGGCATGAAGAGGAAACAGAAAGGATGTTCAATACCAAAGTTTGGAAACCTTGTTTTATCTACAAGGTTAAGTTCAGTTGCCTGTACAAGGTAATGGTGGTCTTGTTCTTGCAAGGGGACAGATGAGGAGGAATGCAGAAGCTGCTCATAGTATGATGCCACTGACTCTTTCAGTCCTACTGCCCTGGCACAGGCTTTGAGGCTGTTTTTAAAACATCTAGAGCAAAGTCTGCCTACCTGCAAGTTAAAATTGCACTTGAAGGTAAGACACATTCCTCAAGACACACTCTCAAAAGCTTTGCATCTAACTTCAGCGTGCCCATAAGAGCTAACATGGACTATGTGGTTCTTCAATGTTTAAATTACTGCTCTTTGAAAATACAGAGTTCATATGTAATTATATGAAACGGAAAGTAGTTATAAACTTCTGTGGCTGTGAAACGTTGAGATAATCAGATATTTTTGTCCATGCATAGCATAGCATAGCATAGCATAGAATTTCATTCTGAATACAAACATCACTGAGTGCAGAAAGGATGCAGTTTGTACCAGGCAAAGCACATGCTGGGAAGCTTATAATGAGATATTTTTCAGGAATGCTAAAAAATGAGCACATCAGTAGAAGACTATGAGAGAAATGTATTTCTATATGGCATGTTGAATCACTTGAAAGAATACCTTTACTATAATTTCTGAATGTAATCCCCTTATTCCCAGTAAGGAATTGTTGAAATAAACATGATGATGCTGGAAGTGTTACCTATTTCCATTGCAAATTGCTAGCCACACCTGCAGTGCTGTGTGCTCTTGCATATGCAGTACAAAGGACCCACAGAACCTACTATTTGAAGGAAAAGCCAGTTCTAAAAATGTTATTTTCAATAGATATTACATTTTAAGACTGAATTACATTTCAGCTCAGGAATCATTTGCATTGTATAATGTAATGAAAATTTAAGCTGTAAAATATTTATTACCTACATTATTGCATGGTCATACAGCATGAGCAACAGAATCAAAATGATAAGTATTATTCATAGGCATGTGTCCCATGTGCTTTTTAAAATGCCTCTTATGGCTCAAATTGTATTTGCTGTTGAAGCATGAAATCAAATTAATTTTTTTGACAAAACTTGGAGTAAAAAATTTTCTGTACAGCTCTCTTCCTCTCGCACTAATTAAAATGAAAAGAATATTGATAAAATAACCATAAAATTGATCAGTATGAACCATATTTTTTATAATCCAATTAACTACAAACTGAAAATGACCAAAAGAAAAATGAAAAAAGCACACATGTTCTTCTGTCAATTATTTTGTACTAATGAAAGCCATGGCTGTCTTTAAATGATTTGTACATATGATTATTTCATTTATAAAAGCTGAATGTTTTGCAATGGCTACTTAACCTGAATATCTTTAGTTCTCCAAATCAAATCAATGAGGAATGGTGAAAGGAACAGTTGAGACTTCATCTGTACTAGAGACTTTTTTCAAAAGTGCAACACTAAGAATGAAAATATTAATTTAAAATGCAGGCCTCATACTTGAAAACTATAATGTGCTTTGTAGCAATGGCAATGTAACTGCATGCCAGGAGTCCATGCAGAGGATGCTGCATTGTGAAGAGAAACACAGCCCCTGAAAGAAGCGTGGTTTGGAAACTCTATTTTGCATCTTGAGAGTTTCTCCAAAGTCACTGATTCTGGTTGTTCTTCACTTCTTGGATTCCTGTTCCTATTTTGAGACTGGTGAGAAATGATCCTGAAGTCAGTGGGTCAGTGTAGTCATAAATTGTATGACTTGAAGCAGTGGAGAATTCATGCTTGGGAGAAGAAAGCTACTGTCCTTGGGAGCACCGTGCCATATTGATAAATAAAATTCCTTCATGAAGGAATAACTGAACCAGAACATTTAGGGAGGCATCCTGACTAGGTTTCTTCCCACAGTGAAAGTCCCTTTCCTTATAGGTTATATAGTTCCTGGCTCTTGATTCTCTGCTGCAACAGCGATGGAGAAAGTACTAGAGGTATAGAACAGAGATAATCTTATGCCCTTTCAAGCACCCTCAGGCATTCTGCACTTACATCAGAGGTCACTGAAGCCTTCCGGACCCTTTACTCCAATTTAATGCTGGTTGGATTAGCATTGTCATGCTAAAAATCCTTCACTGCTTGGAGGACCTATCTTATAATATTTTCCTCTCTCCCCTTTTCTCCTCTCTTTTGAAAAGACACATGCCCCTGTAAGTACTCCCAAAATGTAAGCTGAATGTTGGTCAAAAAAGCAAAGACCTTGAGAAGGAATCAGGAAAATGGGTGTCTAAATGTTTTATGAAATTATGCAGTTTCTTGAATCAGACCAAAACTATAAGGATCTGAGAGAATCAGAGTTTTCTCCAGTCATCTCTGCACTCTTTTAGATGTGTATCTGTCTATCTTCTATCTTGCAGGACTGATAGCTTATTCCAATTCATTTATATACATATTTGCTTTCTATCACCATCTTCCCTGTCAACAGTAATCTGTTTGGACTCATTACTCCTTTTTTTCTCACAGGTTGCTACTTGTGGAATGTAGTCAGATTGATAACACTGGAGATTTGACACATCTGTTAGTGGAGATCAATTACAACTGGGACCTGTGGGAAAAAATCAAGTGACTTTTCTCTATTTGTTTGCCTTCTGGAAGGTCACTTGTAGGATCTTGCCACTCACTCCCTGGGATAGCAAGGGATTTTATATCTCTTATTTCTTCTTTTTTTTTAAACTCTTATCTTTTCTGCCTTTGATTTATGAAGGAATAGGTGTTTAGGGACACTAGAGGCCACTGTAGCTTCACTGCAGGGGGAATCACCACTCCTCTGCTGGACCAAATGACTATAGACTCGATGTTATTTTAATTGATAAATACCTACAAACATGCAACTTGTTTTTTCTCTCCCATACTCACAGCTCTGTCTGTATTTCATGGATTATCTTACAGTACATTTCGGTCAACTGAGTATCTCTTTGCCTCCCAGTCCCACTCCCCTGTCTCCCTGCCTATCTTCCTGCATTTCTGGTCAAGTTTTTCTTCTGCCCTGCTTCAAGTCTCACACCTGCAGCACTACTGCTTGCAGCTGGTCACAAGTCACAATTTGTTTTTCAGCTTTTCAGACTGAGCTGGTTGGTGGAAGTGGGAATAGGAAGGAATTGAAATTAATTGGAAGTAACTGGAGGGCCTGAGGGTGAGGGAGAATGCTTTGAATCTTGAGTGGAGACAGAAGATAAAACTACCAAAAATTTATCACCCATGACAAACAACAGCAAGCAAACATATTGTGCCAATTTTCAGCAGTGAAGTTCCAACAAATACAGATGTTGATTCTTACCAAGCCTACAACTTACTTGCCTGAAATTAACCTAAGTTGGAAAAATGTTAATGCAATGGAAAATACAGTGCAGTCTGAAGTTCAAATGTTCAAGACGTCTCCACCAGTCTCATGCTAGGAGCATGAATCCAAGAAATGTATTATATCTCATACCTTCAATAAGTAACAAGAATTTCAGGAAAATAATGTCTTATAGTGTCATTTATTAAAATAAATTAAGTTCAAGGATTTTGTGTATTTTTTCCTTTTTCAAAACAGTTTACAGATTAAGAGAAACTATTTAAAAATCTATATCTTCTATCATTAATTTGTACTTCAATTGTCCTTCAAATTATTTTTGAAAAATAAGATAAAAATGTAGTAAGCTTTAGTTATAAACAAGAGTTTCTTCCCCATAAGATCCATCCATCTAGAAATTACTATTTTTGATAAGTGACAGAATTTCCACAGAATTCAGCTGAAGCAGATAGTTGATTTCACATGCATTCCTCTACCTTCCAGTGCAGGAACAGCTTCCACAGGCTGTGTCCAAGCAGATTCTTCTCAACAACAATTTCACATTTTTACTGTAGATATTGACTAGCTTAATATTCCCCACTTATCATCAGATGAAGAACTCAACTGCTGTGGTTATAAAAATTCCCTTGGACTTGGGGAAATGTTTTTACCCAAATATTCAAAGCGAGTTTTAGATCTCTGTGGGTTAATGCATTCCAAAAGTTCAAGTCTCAGGCAGAGAAGGGGAATTGGCCTTCAGCAAATGGCAGCGTTTTCCACACTGCAGTTGTCCAGCTAGATGAGATTCAAAGAACTGGTATTATTGCCAGTGGCTTAATGTCATTGCAGGCAACAAGCAACCATGGAACTACAAGCACTTAAAAAAAAGAAATCAAGAAACCTTCTTTGGAGAAATAAGGAACTTTTAAGCACTAAGGAGGGGAAGTAAATGGATCATGCACCTGATGTTAGTTGACATTCTCAAACATCATGTGAATAGGCAGGATGCTGAATACCTATGTTTCCGAGGGGTGTACATCCTGAAGAGCTTCTCTTTATTACTACAAAGCTTACTAGGAGTGAGGGGAAATAGAGGACTGTGTTACTAAGCATTCCACTGCTAGGTAAGGGGTTAGGCTTTCCACCTCAAGTTAGATTCTGCATCACTGCTGATTTATTTTTCATATGGTGCATGCAGAGTTCACCTTAAATCTATTTTTAGAAACAGATGTAGGAGGTGGACAGAATTCCAGAGTACAATTTACTTGTTTCCCTCAGACCAGGGATGAGGTTTCCCTCCAAGCTCCTGTACTGGCAAAACTCTTCCTTATTGCACCAGAGAGAGTTGTCTGAAGAGGGAATTTGTATTCACTCACTAGTTGCAAGACTAGATTGGTGACATTCATTCTCTGCAGACACCCAATGCATGTCCTACAGACAGCTTAAGACTGTTTATTATCTTAGGTTGTTCTAAGATTCATCAGTCTTGATTTATTTTCCTGCACAGAAAGAATTCCAGCCACATTGTATAATTGAGCAGAAATAAATATTCTTTTGGTTCACTGTGTGTATTTGCAGATATGGGGAATTTAACACATAGGATTTTTAAATGCCATGCAGAATTCTATAACTGATTTATAGAAATACCTCATGTAGAGCCTGGATACACCAGAGTGTTTGTCTACCATTACTTTTAATAAACGATTAATCAGAATACTTGTGTATAATATTTTGAGAAATAAAACATCCATAGTTTTCCTCAAATCAGTATGAAGCTACAGCCTCATAAGCACACCTCTCAACTTGAATGCACAGCAACATTTAGTTACCTATTTAGTAGGCCTATACATGACAAGATGCAAGAACTCACTTATGTAATATAAAAGTCATTTTGGTAGGAAAGAAAATAATTAACTTTTATCTAAAGAAAGAAAAGTTTTTCTCAGTTCTTATTAGCACAGAGTACAGAGCAAAGAGGATATCCAGAGAGCAATCCAATGCATGACCTGTGCAAACACATCTGCATTTAAGGGGTGAAACAAGAAGCAGCTTACTTCACATAGCCTCCCATGCAAGTCACCCAGCATTGCAGTAAGAAAGAAGTTAAATAGTCCAGAACAGTTGTCTTGAAGTACATTTGCACTTTGCATTTACATTTTTACCACAAAAGACCTCATACACCACATCTATTTTAAGTGATCCAAACACACAGCAATGTAGCAGCTATTAATGAAGAACAGCCAGCAGCAAAACACCCTTTTTGTAAAAGGCACCAAGTGGCCTGTAGGGCCTTTACTATAAGGAGATAACTAGTTCATTTTTATACCTACACTAATTTGCAGCAGTGTACATATTAGTTAAGAGTTTCTGATGAGACAAAAATCTTCCATTCAGTGAAAGACGAAGAAAAAATCTAGCTAAATCATTGATTGCTTTTAAAACCACAACAGTTGTTACTAATATGGAGTATGTAATAATAGTTTTGACAGCTGGTTGGTTTTTTTCAGTTCAGTTTGGTTTGTTTTTTTTTTTGCATTTAGCTTCTACTTATTGTAGGTAAATTTCTCTCTGTAAGTGCTCACAGGTACAATTGGGAATAATCTCTCCCCTCTGTACAAATCACTGTTTTGGAGGTACATACTCATTTACCACCAACTTTAGTCTCACCTTTAAAACCAATTAAGTCAATTTTAAATGTTGCTGTTGAAGGAGTAGGAAATACAGCTGATGGGTGCAAAAAGTAATAATTTAATGAGATCAATATGTTGCTAGCAATCCTGTGGAGGTAGTGTGTATGAAAAGTCAGAACCGACAGAGCAGAGGAACAGGAGGGACATCTCAGAGCAAATAAATTCATTCCCCTTGAATGTTACTGTGACACTAACAGCAGTTATGTGCACCTCAGGGAAAAGGATGGAGTCAAGACACCAGAGGAGCAATCTGGAAAGCAGAACAGGACAGGGGTAACTGATGTGAAGGGTTTCTACCCCTGTCTGAATAACACAGAAGTGTTCATGAGCAACAGTACAGCTCAGAGGCTGATGTATTTCAGGGGCTGATGTGTCACCAACACTTTTTGTCTTGGTTTTTCATCATTTGCTGCTTGGAGGTTATCTCCATTATTCTCTGACCATGCTGATCCTGCAGTGCTGGCTGTCAAATGCCTGCAGACTCCCATCCCTAATGAGCTTCGGAGGTACTGTAATTTCTCTTGTTGCCACTAAGTCCTTTCTGTCCCTATGGATTCGAGCTGTATGCACAGCAAAGAGCAGCATTTCCTCTTACTGCCTTAGGACTGTGCCTCTCCAGGGTTTTATTTATTGGGGGAGGATAGCCCTGCCAAGGCTTGCCTCTGCATGATCTAGGCAGCTGGTCCTCAGTCAGCATCCAGGCTGTGTGGAAATGCTTCCTGCCCTCCCAGCCAGCAGCACTGGAACTTACGTAAGAAGAGATGCCAGGCTGCTCCCTCCACCCAAAAAGGGCCATGGGAGAGTGTGAACCATGCAGCTGGGGGGAGGTGATCCACTGCAGTGATTGCTTTGCACCCACCTGCCTTGTCCCATAAAGCTCTTTAGGAGAGGGCAGCAGGAAAGTTGGAAAAAGTTGAAGACGTGGCACTGAGAAAGCCTTGAGGATGCTCCTGCAGGGAAGCACAGACCCATTTGGGGGGTCCGAATGAGTTGGTTCACAAAGACAAATCAAATGGCATGGCTATAGCTTGCACTGTGATTCTTGGCAATGCCGGGCATCATTTTTATGGCAGAAGCTGGGGCCACATCCTTGCCCAGAATCTGGGTCTGGGGAGGCTGCTCCACTTGCTACTCTGCCACTGTTTGAACTGAGCTTTCCCTCAAAGCTAAGAAGTAAAAAATTACCTAGTTTTTCCATGCAGAAACCGGGCTAAGAAGCAAATTTTCAGTAGCATTAGTCTATCAATATGAGTTAAAAAAAATGCAGTTTGTGATTATTGTCAGTTAACAGTTACAGTTCATTGAATCTACTGTACAGAAACGGAAACATCCACAAGCCATTAAAAAGCAGTGATTTCATAGATAAAAGAAATAAAAGAAATACAAACCTGCTAGAAGCTTCCCCTTGTTCTTTTCTTCAGGTCAGGGAGTGGGAGGGAAAAACATACTTGTTATGCAGATAGTAATCACACTATTTAGTTACAGATGATGCTAGATATATGATAAACATAAATGGATATGTTAATTAATGTACAACACACATATTACATTGCAACCACGAAAACACTCAAGCAAGACTTGTAATTACAATGCTTCTGAAGAAGTACATTTTCACTTGTTTTAACACATGCATGACATGCTTAGTACATACCACTGCAGACAGAGTTGGCAAAGCACTTAGGCAAAACGCATTGCTGACACATATATAACAGAAAGCTGTAGGCTCTTATTAGACAAAGATAATTCTGGTAAATAAAAAAGTTTAATTTCAGGATAGCACAGCAATATGCTTATTTAAAGTAACAAGTAGATGCACTTTTGAGGGCTAGTCATATTTTAGAAAATTTTAGGTGGGATACAGCTTCATTATTTATGTCATTTTATATCCATCCATTTATACCAATGTTGCCTTCAACCTGTTTGTATTTGCAAAAAAAATCAATATTCCACGTAACTTTTAATCTAAAAGCTCCTTTTAGTTTGGAGCATTTTGGAATTACAGTTATGGTAATGGATTACTTATGGCTCTGTTCTTGTCAACTCTTTGAAATTCAAAGATCAGCTTTGGGTACTCAGCCAAACCTCTTTTTGGCTGAGCTTTTTGGCACACGGTTACCTTTTTACTGTCATGTGGATGTTCATCACCCAGCTTTGAGAGAAACCACTAATTCTCTTGCACTGTCTGCAATAACAACAGTTAGGATGCTTATCAGAGCTTTCTCATAAGGCTCTTAGTGCTTTCCTTTTGATTTTTATCGAGGATCTTTTGCTTCCTGATTTGCAGCCCATATTGAATCAGTCAACTTACTGCCTTCTGGTAAATCTTGGGCTGCCAGTGCTCTGTGAATTCTCACCCAAACTAGGACATAAAATATTTCCTGTCTGCCAAAGTGTGACATCAGGTCTTTTTAGTCATCTTCCACTGAATGAGGATATAATTTGCCCTAAGGAAATACTGAATATATCAGAAATTATCATGAAAAGGAGCAAATTCCCCAGTGCATTCACCTGCAGAATACCACAAGGCTGTCTTCCATTGGAAAGATAGATCTGTAGTTATAGCCTCATAAAGAGGCACAGCCATAACAACAGTACTAAAGGAACAAACTCTGCATGGAACCTAACATTTTCCTCCTTAGAGATTTTGAACTGGGTGAAACATTAACCTTAACATATGGGTTGTTTTTTTGGAAAATACTTCTGGTGCGTGGGATCAGTGATATTTCGTAGATAAATGGCAATGATTTGTATTTGTCCCACCATCCTAGGCTCCTAGATAGTATTGATCTGATTTGTTAGTTGAGATTTTTAATGAGACGACTTAAGAAGACAAAACAAGATGAAACAGACAGTAATTCTCTATAAGCTTGAACAGACATCAAGAACAGCACCAGCTGCCATGTTTGTACCTACTTTGTAGGGCTGCAGGTATGCAAGGCCTTCAAATGAGGCTTCCAGGTAGCAATGGAAACCGATTTCTCATCAGCCGCATAACTACGCCATACACACTACGTGCAGGATATATGGTAAAAAAGAAAAAACAAGGCAAGAGGGAGCAGGGGATGAAACAAAAAATTGAAAAGCAGATTAGTAACCAATACCAGTCATGGATTTCTTTTATCATTCATAGCACAGATACATGCCTGAGGGGAGGAAGAATACTTTCATAATATCGCCAGGTGGCTGTCAGGTTTGTTCGGCTGGCGTCGGTAGAATAAAACCGCCAAGAAGCCTGGTATGAGGAAACAATAGAAAAGCACAAAGGAACCAAGAACATGAAGTGACAATGCCACCACACTGGTTTTGGAGAGAGGAGGTTTTGCTTAGATTCGGATGTGCTCTATTCAGTCGATTAAGGAAACACCAGTAAAAACCTACCAAAACACTTGTGAATCACAGTACACTTTGAACAGCAAAGTAAGAAGTCCAAGTTTCATGGAAGCAGCAGAAATTATTCAGCATATAAAGGTGCTCAAAAAAGCATTGCAGTGATTTATTTGCACACAAGTCCATAGGGGATACCCATACAAACTTGCAGACTCAGGTAAAGAAAGTGTCATCATACATTTTGTAATTGATAAGGAAAAACAGACAAGAAGCCTTTAGAAGAAAAGACAAATACTCTCTGTAGTTTGAAACACTGATAAATATTTTAAAACTTGAAATAAATTATTTCATAGGTGAGTGACCAAAGCATAGCATTGAAAATGTACTTATGGTTTAGATTTATAACTGCATGTAGATAAGAGATCCTCATTTCTACAAACTGGAACAGCTTCCCTGAAGTCAGCATAACTATATTAATTTGTACTTGCTGAGTATCTGTGTTTCCTGTATATTGTCAACTACTAAAAGTCATCCTGGTATTCTTGCAGGGAGCCTAATACCCTGTGTTATCCTAGTCCATGTCTCCCAGACACACATCTAGTCTTCACCTACAGATGGAAACCTGTCACTTTGTAAATTGTTCCACTAGTTGACTGTTCTCATTGTAAAAAGTCTCTGCATTGTTTTTAATTTGAAACTATTTTGTTTTGGATTAGAGCCAGAAGGATTTGTTATGTTTCTGTCTGTTACATTAAATAGCCCTGTGGTTTCCAGTACTTCTTCTCTGGACTTTTATGTTCAAATAGTATTTGCACTGACTATTTCTTATAAACTAAAGTAATTGAGCAAAATATGTCCATATGAAACATTTCAGTTTTCTACAGCAATACCTTCACTCTCTTTAAGTCAGGTGAAGGCTCTGGCAGACAGTACAGCTATGGCAGCAGAGGAGTTAGCAGAGACTGATTAGAAAACAGACTTTATCCTGATAAGCTAGAGCACACTGAATTCCATGGAAGCTTATTTTTGATATCCACAACAAAAAAAATTTAAAAAGCTTGGGCACTGTTATGGTAGAGATTTACAGAGACACCCTGCAGTTATGAACATGAAATTTTCTCCATTCATTTTTTTTCCAATTTTTTTTTGCTTTCTCCAATTTTCCAGTCTCATTTACAAACTGTAGATGCTGAGTTGATATGTAAGCATGCTAGTACTAGTATTACCATACATTGTGGCAGTATCAGCTTTCTCCTGCTTGTTACAGTTCTAGCTCTGTGCCTAAGATCTGTATAAACCTGCTGGAGTAACATACTGAGAACTTGAAGCAAGCTCTTCTTTCCCATTTTTTCTCCTCTGCATTTCTCATCCTTTGTACCTAACAGGCCTCTTTTAATAGCCTGAATTCATTGTTTCTAGATCAGATCATCCTGGGGTTCGTTCCCATGTACCTGCCCTCATTTTTCCTAATCTGCCAGACCTTGTGCCACTGGCAACTATCTCTACTGGCAATTTTACACTAATTCCAGATCACTAAAAATTATCTGAACGAGAAAATGAACATGTAACTGCCGAAGAGCCTTTTTTATGGGATTCCACCACAAATGAGTTCCTTTCACAATTATTTTGTCCATTAAGACTCAATTTCCAAAACCAGTCAGCTAGCTACTTTTCATGTTTACCACACTGTCTTGCTAACAGTTTGGCTGAACTGTCATACAATAATAAGAAGAGCTACACCCAAACCCTAAATCTATTGTTCGTTTCTTCTGGCAACCTAACTTGAAAGAAGTGAATTAGAATATATGTGTTAGAAAATATTGCAGACAGTCATTCTACAGTACAATAGATAGAAAAGGTGTGGATTTATATTTGTTAATCATTCTAATAAATATTAAATCTCATATATTTAGTATTTAGTAATTGTTGAACAGTAATAATAGGAAACATTTATAAACTTTTAAAACACTTCAAAGATAGGCTGGCACCTATCCTGAACTTATAATGGAACTCTAGTATATTCATGCTCAGCTTCTTTATTTGGATTAATTATTTCAAAATAAATAAAAATAAATAATAATAGTAATAAAGTGCATAAATGGCACACATAAAACACTTGAGATCCCAAGAAAATAAACTAGGATGCTACAAGATTATTTCCCCTCCCCCCCTCCTTTTTTTTGTTGTTTGTTTTGGTGCATCAAGTAGAGTCAAGCTTGGTACAAAATAATTCTTCAGAGGATATTCTCATTTTTAACTAGGACTGTAAGTTAAGGAAAAAACCCATGTAAACCAGCTGTTTAACAAATATCATGCCACTTCTGCTTAGAAAGAATCTTTCTCAATCGTTGTTCTGCACCATCATGTCAATATTGGAAAACTGAAACCATTTGAGACAATTTCAGACATTTTGGTGCTCCATTTCCAGCTTTTGAATTGACTAATAGTGAAAGCAGTTATCTGGGCAGGACATTTTTCATTTTCACCAAGTATGTAAATCATTGGAACACTCTAAACCTGTAGTAGATCAAAAGTAGCTTAGGCAAGAGTGTCATGCTGTCAGTTGGGTTGTCTAGGAATCGATCCTATTTTTCCAAGTAATTTGCTAACTGCAGGCATACAGTTGACATCCTTGGCTTGGTTTTCTTTGGCATGGATAGAAGAAATTAAAAGCTATGCATAGGAATGCTATATACACCATATGCTATATAACCAATCTGTTAAACATTATTTCCACAAAACTTCCCACAGAGATAAAAAACCAAACTTTAAATCACCTACTATATCTTTTCACTGATTTCATATTTACCTGAATTAGACTGGCAGCTGGATTCCTTCTTTTCTCAAAGTGTTTCTGACGATGCTGTTCCTGCACTTTTAATGCAAATCCCGAGCCAAGGATGCCCTGCAAAACAATTTGCCATTTATCACTTGATAGGTATTTTTTTCAACAAATATATGTAATCAGCTACAAAGATTTTGTGAAGATGTTGTATCATATGATTGTCATAACATATTTATGATGGCATATGACAATACAAGGCTTAACAACAGTGCCCCTTTCATGGTGAGGAAGGAGACTCCCTGCTTAAGATGTAACATCTGTGGTGCTACCAATGACCACTCATTACAAGTTTTGCTTGGGTTTGACCTACACTGTGTTCCTGCAGCTTTAAAGACCATGGAGATATCTATATTAAAAAAAAATAAAAATAAAGTAAACATAAATGTAAACATAAATATAAAATAAATATCTCAAATTAAGCAGCACCAATCAGAGGAACTTAAGCCAGGAATGATGAAATAACCAGATGTCAGATATGCCAAATATATATGGACCTCAAAATCTCTACCTGCACTGCATATAACTTTTAATTTTAGAAAAGCTAGAAAATGCCTTGCTTAGCAGATTAAGACCACTTCTCCTCAGTCTTTCCCATCTAAATAATCTAAATAATTGTTCATCTTATAGGCTATGAAGAAAAAGCTGATGATGAATACTCTCCCCTTTTAGCCTTTTTACCTTTGAATAAATACACTAAAATTCCCTCCTGATGAACAGACCCAAGGATTGAGAAGGTTTCCCTCCTTGGCTTGCAAGGAGTGTAATCTTCCTGCTGGACATGTCTGCATTATAAGGAAGAATATCGCCACTTGATTCTTAGGATGAAATACTACTAGAAATGTGCAAGTTCCACACATATCTCTTTTTTTACAGACAGATTCAACACAAAACAATTCATGAGGAAAATGAGTACCTGTACAGAGATATGACATGAGCAACAAAATTTCTGACATCTCTAATATGTAAGGTTATTTATCTTTTACATTATCATTGTAGTCCTGCTAAAACTAATTTTCTTGTTAGTGGTGACTAGGTAACAAAGGCAATTAATTACAGTAATTGCAATGAATGTCAAGGATTCACAAATAGATAATGTATTATAATAATTATTATTATAATATGCCAGAGATACTGAAATGCTTGCACTTAGAGTAAAAAATAAATAAAGCATGTTAGATGTTTCGATGCTGTTGGCAAATGCTGACTTTTAATCTTGGTTTGACTATATGGTTGAAAACAAATGCGTTATTATAACACACATGTTTTATAGTTACCCATAGATGATTAATCTGAGTATTACAATATTAATTTTCTGCATATGTTCCACTGGATGCAATACAACAAAATAAAAATGTCACTTCTGATTCCACGCTAATTCAATGCTCATTTTAAAAAGAAAGGAAATTTACTCACAAAAATGAAAAGGTATTTCTGAAGCTAGACCATATTTTAGTCATCAGATGATTCCTATTTGCATTAAAGTCTCTTGAACATTGATAAAAGCAACAGAAATAAACTGTCACGTTAATTTACAATCATCCAAAGAAAATGATGGCTGCATTTTTACATTCAGCAAGATTAACCTTTGGTTGATTTAATGCCTTCTACTATTCTCTGTTGGCAGCCTTATAAGACAATCTATTACAAATATCTATTTTTTTAATAGACTCTAATTCAGAAAAACATAACAGCTGATTTATTTTTTTCAAACATCTGAAAGAAAAGCAGTAACATGTCAAACACAATTTATAGCAAAAGAAAATAATTTCAACCTTACACAATAGTATACTACCTAATAATAGAATAAGAGAATAATGGAAAGGCTTGAGTTGGAAGGGACCTTAAAGATCACCTAGTTCCAACCCCCCGGCATGGGCAGGGACACCTCCTACAAGGTCAGGTTGCTCAAAGCCTCATCCAACCTGGCCTTGAACACTTCCAGGGATAGGGCAACTTCCCTGGGCAACCTGTTCCCATATAATAATATAGGATTACCTCCCAGTTTTGTCCATGTCAAAGAAACTCCCCAAAATTCGAGCAATGACACCAAGCCTCTCATCTAGATTTTGGATAGCAGTTCACTAGTGTTATCACAGAGCAAAAAGCCTTAAGCAGTTGTTCTTCATGTGGAAAGCTTCCTTCATTTTTTTTTGTCGTAACAGCAGTAGGAGCTAGAAAAGTTCCTATTACCTTTTCACAAATTCTATAGGCATACTCACAGCAGGCAGTGCAAAGAAAGAAATGCCAAGTAGAGCGAATCCTGCAGAAAGCAACCTTCCAAGCCATGTAAGAGGAGTTTTGTCTCCGTAGCCAATGGTTGTCAGTGTGATCTAAAGAGAAATTAATTAACATTGTGGTTTACCAGAAGTCACTGAGAGATTAGTCGCAGATTATTTACATTACATGAAACAGCATTTCCACTATTAAACCAAGACACATGAAATACATATAGTTGTTTCTAAACCTAACTAAATAAAGAAAACTTTTTCTGTAAAAACTTAATACTGTTATGACTGAATAAAGCTGAGATAATATATGTGAGAAAAAATGGCTTAATAAGATATGTTTTTTTAAAAATAAAACAATATCTGGGATCTCAAAGTGGAGGCAAAGGATGGGAAATTATGTGAGTTGGGCAGAAAAAAAAAGTGTTCTTTTCTATGGATGTAAAGGTGTTTCACCTATTTTCTGCTTGGAAATATAACTGCATGTATTTGCACAACTACACAGATATAAATTACACCGAGTTTGTATTGAAAAAGTACAGTTGAGGAAGTGGAAATTCACAGCTGATATCAAGCCAAAGGAACAGCAAGAAGCAGCTGCATTTTCTGTAAGCCTATCAGAACAATTTGAAGTGAATTATCTTCTGAAACACAAAAAACACTAATCAAATGATGGAAGGAACTTAAAAAAGTTCCAGGTCCTTTCCCCTTCCTTGTGAGAGGCTCAGATATACTCGTGTCACTCCTGACATGAAGTTCCACAGACTGCAACACAGCAGCAGATGCACAAGTACCACAGGCTCCTGGACAATGTTAGCTCAGACCTACGTGGGGAGAGACCGAAGAGAAAGAGGAAAGCATCTGCAATCCCTTCATGTGCAGAGTGCAGTCAGAGGCTCAGCACACAGGTGTTTAAGAAGCTGTGCCATGGAGGCCAGCACCCCTGCCGTGTAGCACCGCTGCAGACAAGGGCAGAGCTTGGTCCAGATGGAAGGGCTCCCTACGTGCAGCTCATTGACTGCAGGTCACATGGAAACACAGCAGGTATGCAAATGCTGCTGGGATAAATGGTGCCTGGTTGTGGCTAACTGAGCTTATCTCTGAGGCAAAAGATTATGGCTTCATGTCTGTGTTCGGCTGAGGGTCTTCCCTGACCCAAGGAAATGTCCTCCAGGCTACTCCTGACCTGGGAAGTGTGCCAGTCCCAAAGCTGGGGATTGGATTGACAGGAGAAAGTCACATCTCTGTGATTCCCTCTTGGGGAGTCTGCACCTACCCTGCTGGCTGCGTGGGCAGCTGGAAGAGGTGTGGGTAGAGAATTTCCAAAGGCGGGGGGGGAGGCTGTGGGGCACGTGCCCGGGCAATGGCACACGAAGTTGAAGGACAAAGATGGACAACAGTGGGCTGAATGCCAAGGACTCTGGGACTGTTATTAGAGGAGAACACGTGCACAGAGAATTATTTTACATCGTGTACCAAATGTGGGCAAGTTCAGGCTTAACACATATTCTGGCAGGAACAAATTCTTCAGGAAAATGCCTTCTAGAGACATTATTTTGCTTCCAGCTTCCTCAAAGTTAATTCCTAGGCAAGACAGCCAAAGAAATTCTATTTAATGCTGGGGTCACCACAGGACAAAAGAAGGAAAGTCTTTTGGAAGTAATTAGATTTCAACTATTTAGGGCTCTGCAGATAGTAAACTGCTGCTTCTAATTGCTCCCATTGTTTGGAACAAGCTATGGGAGTAATTTAGCCTGAGAAAGCTGTAGTGACTAAAAGAGTGAGCTGACTTAAGGCTGCTGTTGAAATTTCAAGTGGCTGTCAAGTGTCAAGTTTCGTAATGCTAGCCTGGTCACAGACACACCAACTTGTGTACTCATCAGGCCTCTCTCTTCCTTGCTTCTCTTCAATTCCCTGCCCCATCCCCTGGCTTTTGCTGGACCCCTTGGAGAGTCAATGCGACCCAGGAAGGCAAAGACAATTATCCATATTTCTGCGTGGTTTGCTTCTGCTGTTTCAGTGAGATGTGTGAGCTCGTGGAGGAGCCTGACAAGCTCCAGATCCTGCACAAGGCAGTGTGTAGCTGAGATTGAGTGATAAGGAAGGAGATGGGAATGCAGCTCCCTTTTTTCTGGCACAGGTGAACTGATGCAACCTCACTCTTGGCCTGCCAGAGGGGTTTGATTTGGTTTTCCTTTGTTTGCTGAATAAGGTATTCCTAGCTCTTCTCATCTGAGAGCAAATGCAGGACAGTTTGAGGCTTTTAAGACCCTGAGAGCAACAAACCACTGAATAAATGAATCCCTGAAGAAAAGCACCTCAAAATTCATTTCCAGGCTAGTCATTGCAAAGCAGTTTGAAGCTCTGGAATGAGTCTGGTTTCTTGGCTTTTGTCCAGCTCCCTATCTCTGCCAGACACTAGAAAGTATAGAGGTATCTCCTGCCTGCGCTGACAAGAAGGAAACAGAACTAAGTGTCATCTGCATATTAATGATATTGCCACTGAACTGTCTTCCGAAGAAGTCAAAGATAAACTTGAACCTTTGGGATCTGACATCTGGGAGCAAACCAAAACCAGGAGCAGTCACACAGACTGTATCTCTGGAATTTCTCCAAAGAAAATAACAAGGCCATATTAAAGCTTTTCCCCTCATTCTTTTAGGTTCTGAGAACTTAATGGTATCAGTTTATGATAAAGAGTATCCGTGGCTTCTTGCTCACTTAGAGCTCTTTTATCTCAGGACAGTCTTGACACGGGCATATAGGTGTCAGCACTGTGCTGTATTGTCTTACTCAACACTGAACAAATGAGTTTGATCTTCATTTTATATTCCTCTCATCACACAACTAAGAAAATATTTTTCCAGACAACTTCAGAGTCAAGCTCAGGAATAATCCTTTGCATCTTTGTTAGTGCTCCAAGTGAATGACTAAACCACTGGCCAGGCCCAGACTGGACTAATCCTGAGGTTAAATTAACTGAACAGGGTGTGGAAAACTACTGGATGTGAGAGCATGACAACATGAGAAATTTCCAGACGTCACTAATAAAATTGTAAAAAGCAGACAGGAGTTACAGAGAGAACTGTGAGGGATGGCTGGGTCCAGTGTAGTTAAACGCTAAGTCATCAAAGTTCAAAGGTGACTGGAAGAAATTATCTCGACCTTTCAGGGATTACAACCATGCAAGGACAACAGCACCTGGGTGACTGCATCAGCAATACCATACAAGTCCAGGAGTAACTAGGTAACAGAAAATCTGCTACAAAATCTGTCTGTAATACAAGATGTTCTGACATGAATTTCAAAATGCTTTTTAAGGACCGTTCCTGCAACCTCCTGTGAAACCCTGTCTCTCCCTGAATTCACTGTGTAATACTTCCTCAGCCAACAGAAAGTTCCCATGTGTTTCTCTGCATGTGTGTGTGTGTCTATTGCTAGTTAATGGGCTGTACAAGTAAGGCTTGTGCTTGTTGTCTAAATGATCCATCTTGCTGATACTGCTGTGGAGCACACCCGTTGTCCTCAGAGCTGAACTCTGGAGGCTGGATGCGCAGTTCTGGTGAAATCTCAGTTGCTGCCTTTTTTCTTTTAATTTTTTTCTCCATGTGACAGAACTCAAATCACAGAGTTTCAGTCAAAAACCCACAACGTCAGTGTTAATGTGAGTTTCACTCACATCAATCTGAAAATGGTTTCTCTTTTTTTGGCCATCTCTGTGGGGTGCCTGGTCACCCAGAGGCATAAGGAGAGCATCTCCTCCATGCTGCAGCCTGGGGAGCTCTCCTGGGACTGGGGCACAGGCAGCCCTGAGGTGGCTGGTGCTGGGATTTCTCTGGGCTGACTTCAAGGTGTTTTCCCATTAGCCCAAAGTTAGCAAAGCTGCTGGCTCCTTCACTGTGACTTCTGAAACGTCCTGTGCATGTGAAGACAGAATTGTATTTTGGGATTTAAAAGCAGCTTCTATTAGGAAGATTTTTTAAAAATAGATTTTGGAGAAAGTAAAACTAATTAACTGTAAAAAATTGTAGCAAACCCATGAAGGTAATTAGGGACAGGTTGCTTATTTGAGAAGAGTCAGCCTAAGCCAGGGCAACGAACCAAACTGTTTGGAGTTTATTTGTATAGGATTCATTTCATCCAGCTTGAGAAATAAAACATTTGTGTGTTCAGCAGAAAAAGAAAGCACGGAAAGAGAGATTCCTCAAGCAGGTCACTCATCCTATCCTAAAATGTAGGACTTAGACTTGCCTGAAAACAAGTATCTTGTGCCACCTGAGGTGCTCTAGGGCATCTGAACAAGGACCACCTACAGGAGAGGCAGCAGACTCTCCAACAGATCTTCCACGGTGCTCTGTGTCTGTGTTCAAACAACTGAATCACAAGGCTAAATGAGCTGGCTGAGTCCTGTCTTTTGTACCAGATACAAACACTCCATTTTGGTTGCTTCTATAAATGAAGTGTCTGGACAGACCAGCCAAGGCAGGCAGTGTCACCTGGCTAGACTCACAACTCACAACAATGATGGAACTCCTGTTATAGCTCACTACTGGAGCTAATAAATATGCTAATAATAAGTGAGGTAATATAATAATGAAGCTGATTATATAACCTAGGTGCCTTCAATTAGATAAAATAGGACCCAGGAGACCCTCCTCTACCCTAATATTTCTTTCTGATGTAATTTTATGTTCTGCTAGCAGTACTTACTTTTTGAATCTTTACCTGGTTCAATTAACTGAAAGAAAAAAAAGTAGTTTGTTCATGCTATCATTATATTAAATGGGAAAAATGTCATCAATATTAACTCATTTGAGCTAGTAATTGTGACAGTATTATTCATTGTAATATGTTTTGTCCACCTACAGGTCACAGTGGAGTGCTGGAGCCATTCTGTAACCAATGCAACTACTGGATAGTATTAGAAAATAATGAGTTATTCAGAGGAACTTTGTCAACTGCGTAAGAGAGATGGAAATCTTAATTGTGTTGCATTTGCAGGTAAAACTTATTAACGTACAAACTAAATACCACTATAAGCACACACAGTTCCAGCTAACACTAGCAGTTTTCAGAAAACCCTGTATAGTTTGGTTTAGAAATACTTAAGTTTTTTAATTGACCTTTTGTTCCCGGATGGTTTGGTTCTTTTATTTGGTGAAGTGAATATACCTTTTCTATCAGAGCTACTTTTGAACTTCAGCTCTTCATATAACACTGTTGTGTAATGCTGTGCTAGGCAGCACTGTGGAGACCCCAACCACATGAATATTCAAAAGAGTAACATTAACATGATGTGTAAACTGAAGGATGCACAGTACAACATGCGACTGAAAATACAGTGGAGCATTAATGTGTACATTAGGATATAATATCCTGCCTTTCATTTCAGTGTAAAAATATGGACTCCAGAAATGGAGGAATTGAAATTACCATGGCAGGGTATGGTCCTCAAATAATCTGAATTAATGAGTGGTTAACTGCTGCATGCTGGGTCTGATCCTGTAAGGGGGAGCATAAGTGCCTCCAAAAGCTTGAAATTTAATGTGATTATTTCTGCCTGTCTTGAATGCAGTGACAGAATTCAGTCTGGGATTTGGTAGATACTCTGTGGTTTAAGTTAGAACTACTTTTGCAAATAAACAAATCAATTAGACTAATAATTGATTTCCCCTAGAATGCAACACAATCTGACCTTTTCAAATCTGCATGTGGGTTATTCTGGCAGTAAAAACAACCATGACTAAGAAGCACATTATGCATTTCCCACGTACTGTTTTACATATTATACAAAAAATACTATTATTAAAAGGCAAAGAGAACAGGTAAGGGGAAACACTGATTTTTTTGCAACTTTGTGCACTTAAGCACATTGAAAATTTAAATGTGTTCACATCACACACTGGAGAAACATGTAAAAAACAGAAATATACGAAACAGATTGTTTTCAGATTTTAGATTACAATTTGCTGTTTTT